ATTAACATTGTCTGTGATATTGAGCAGAACAGCATTGTCTGATGTTACACAGATTAGCATTGTCTGTGATATTGAGCAGAACAGCATTGTCTGATATTATATAGAGATTAGCATTGTCTGTGATATTGAGCAGAACGGCATTGTCTGATATTATATAGAGATTAGCATTGTCTGTGATATTGAGCAGAACGGCATTGTCTGATATTATACAGATTAGCATTGTCTGTGATATTTGACAGATGTACACCGTCTGTGATAATGAGCATTTTTGCATTGTGTGATATTAAACAGGTAAACATTGTATGTGATTTTGAGCAGATGAGCATATTCTGAAAATACTGAACAGATTACTAATGTCTGTGATAATGAGTCGATTTTCATTTTCTGAGATACTAAACAGATTAGCAATGTCTGTGATAGATTGATAGATTAGCATTTTCTGAGATACTTAACAGATAAGCATTGTTTGCAATAGTGAAACGATTTACATTTTCTGAGATACTGAGCAGATAAGCATTGATTGTAATATTGGCCAAAGAAGCCAATTCTGTAATAATGAATAGAACAGTACAGTGTTTTCTCTTCTCAGTTGTTTTCTGCTTACGGACGGACTACATTTCATATTTGGCTTTGTTTATCATATTTAAAAAAAAAAACTGATTTCATCACAAACTCCTCATGGTATTGATTCGTCTATCAGTTACCTATGTCACGAATTGAATTTAGTAACATTCCATACTTCTAATAATACATAAAGTAGTTCCTGCTCGGCTCGTTAGTTCTGCTTCCGGGCTTCCACATATCACAAGATGTTTTTGAAACAAGATAATGTAGTATAATTACGTATTTTTGTTAGAGATAAGATCGGACCAACGTAATGAGGTATTGTCTACGAAATACATTGTATAAAGAAACATAGACCATTTTCTCCGTTTTCTGGACGATACCTATATGACATTATATATTGTGGATGATCTCGGAGAAATTGATCTTTCTTCACCCCCGAAATAACTACCTTATTGTCACTATTCTCGCGGTTCCCTCCATCAGTCTATTATTAACAATACCGGAATTGAATGTATTTCATCCTGTGGTAGAACGTATCCAGGAAATACTACCCTTCATGTCAAATTATTAATCAAGCCATTTTCATAAATAAGTCTTCAGGACAATAAGTTTAATGTACTGATCAGAAAGGCTTACATGGATTCAAATTAAAGCTAGCTTAATATTTGTTACATGTTTTATACTAAACACAGAAAACAAAGCAAAGTAGATATTTACCTAGATAACAATATCAATATCATAATATTATCTGTTACATGTTTGTTTTGAAGTCTACTTAGGGAGATGTTAAAATGATGATGATATTAATATCTAATAATCATATTGTTGCTTATCTGATCAAAGAATTAATTCAATGTTTTATTCTCGATATCACGAGTGTTGTGTACGGTGTCATCAACTGACAGAAAAAATTGTAACACAGGGTTTCAAGAGATGCAGGTTGATGAAAATGACGGGGAAGTTTTACGGTCATCAAAATGGCGTTGTGCTATATGAATTGGGACGTGTATGATTCTAGTTCGTATAGCAGTTGGTTCAGTTGTCGTATGCCTTGTTCGCACTTGGGAAAGTGACGTTACTTACTTGGATTGATCCAGAATTACAACACTCGTATGATGACACCGAAACCGCTCACTCTTCTGGAACCCCTGATCTCTTCATGGTTATCGTCTTCCTTATACTTTTCAGGTGTCTTGTGTTCATATTTTGATGTAGTTTCATCCATTCTGTTAACATGTTGGTGTGTTCTTTGAGGGTTTTTGATTGTTTTCCATTCAGAATTCATCATATTTCTTGGTTATCAATTATAATAAACGACATAATGAAGCATAGTGGAGATGTCTATATACTGTTCATTTATTTACTCGTTTGGTAAAGGTCACCTGCTCAATATGAAATGAATGACCTTATGGAAGTAGATATAGATATATATGTAACCCTGGTAAGTTCTGGCCGCAATATACCGCTTGGTTAGAGAGAACTTCTCTTTAGCTCGGTCATTTGATAATTAGTCTAGTGGGCCAGAGTTCCTGGGTTCGAACCCTAGCGCAAGCATTGTTAGAAATAACAATCTCTTTAACAATGGCGTCTATGTATGGAACTCGGGAATACAAAGCGATACTAACGTTCTTAGAGAAGTCCTCTATAGCCAAACGATATATCGTAGCCAGTATTTATCAGAGAAACACAAGGATACTTGTTTTGAGTGTGGATTACTTTAATCACTTATAGTGTCTGTCTTACACTTACATTACAGTAACAAGTCATAGAATATGTTTACAATACACTGTGTTTAAAAAATCAGACGTCTTATTTTGGTTTATACTCAGACTAGTCATAGATTGCAAGAACTATAAAAAAAATGTGAAAATATTTTTATTCCAACTTCCTAACAACTAGCAATTCATTATGATTGAATGTGTATTTACTTAAATGATGTTTTGATATAGTCAAATCACCACCAGCTATAATAGTATTGCTAAAAGGCCTTGTGTGCACAGGTGCTTGTTGATATGCTACATGCCGTACATGTCTCCACAATAGTGTGTCCGCGTGACTAATGCCTTTAACAGTCAACATTCTATCGATACTTTGTAAAGACAGTATTTCACAAGTGTGCTGTGTGATGTTTTTGTAATTTATCAAGCACTGTTCCCAAAGGCCTAACTTGGCGTAAATAATTTACATGTGCTGTGGACAGACACTTCTGTATATATGCGATGATTTAAGATGTCTTATCACTCCATGCGGTTTCCAGGCTGGTGATACATGTATGTATATGTAAAAGAAAGGGAATGTTTTGTAAGGTTATCTGGACTTGTGCTCGTGTTACCTGGAGTTTACACATGTGATCACTTAACTGTATGTTTTGACTGGCTTTAAGTTGATCTTTTCATAGATAGAGTAAAATAATATGTTTTGTTTTATTTTATGAACCTGCATACTATATTTGTTTATGATGCAAATAAATATGTATTTTCGATTAGTGAAAGTAAGAGCAAGCAAATAAGAAATTACTTCAAAACCTAAAGTGGAAAAATTACATTGTTTAATGCGGAGCGCAATTTACTCGACTCTATACTGGTAGTTGGAGGCCTATCTCTTAAATTGATTTAAATAGATTCCAATTAAACAAATACAGGCAAATGGTGAAACACTTGTCAGGTGTCCTTACCTGGAGTAGATTACACAGACTTTTACCTTTTTATAGTTTTGCTTGATTTTCGTGTATTGATAACATCGATAAACCAATAAGGTATAACAGAGATAAATATTTCTATAAAACAGTATTTGTTTTCTAACCTAATTTAACCTTCCCGTTCAAATGTTTGACTTTTCTTTCGATCACTTTGGATTTATCTCAGTCGTCACATAAGCTTCACAATTTAGGCCATCAGTATCCAATATTGGCACGGTCCAGGTTTGGATTTTTGATCACATTTGATTTTCCTAGATCGCCTCTTAGGCAAAAAAATTAGGTCCTTATCATCATTGACGATTTCCAGAAGGACAAAACAGCTTTATGATGCAGTTTTATGTATTGTTTGGCACTGGTTTGTCTAATTCTTAATTTGTATTAAAAGTGCTATTTACCTGTGTGTCTTTACACAATGTTCAGGATGTAGTGTGACATAAAGGATTTTTCGTACGGCCGATTTGATTTTTTCATACTGAATATGACACATTGACAAAAATGACTTTTCATCAAATGAATTTCTCAGCCGTTTCTCTCAGCGTACAAGTAAAACATTTTTTTCAAGATAAATTTATTGAATAAGTGATACATTAATTGATACGAATACAAATAATGTAAATTGTAAACATGAAATGATTCCATTGACTTTGTTTTTATATTAAGAATCACTATTTACACCATTGTAATGACTTTAATATGTTCCCACGAGTGATATTTAATTATTAAAGCGCTGTTTTATTTCCATAATTAACATAGATAATTTCTTTTTCCTTTGTTTTTAAGTCACGTTGATTATTTACTGAAACTGAACCATTCATGTTCTAATTACATCTAGCATAACAAGAGTAAGATTGGCATTCAAACCATGGTAATGATAATAAGAGATCTACTACCACACAGCGACCATCCGAATTTTTGTTTTATATTTATTCGTTTTGATTTGTCGCCATGCCATCCTTTTAGCTGATATCATATTTTGGTATGTCAAATGTTTCATTCATCAAAGACAAATTTAAACGATTTTCGGTCCATAATGAATAAGCTTTTTCTATCTCGGGAGAAAGTAACACCTTATATATATCCTTTTTGGTATTATCAGAGCAATCTCAAAGTTTATGACCTTTAGGGAATTGAATAAATTGTCACTGATTTTAAACATATTGTCAGCCTAATTGCCACTCTCTGGTAGTTTAATTCTCACCCCTTAATCTTTCAAAGTAAAACTGCAGGTTGTCTTTGCAGACAGGTTAAATTATAAGCCCGAGGGTATTGCAATGGTCGATAAAGTATTTTTACTGGCCGATTGGTTTCATGTGATATTCAAAACCAGCACGCGATATCCACTAACAAAACACTGTTTGTCGCCAACAAGTATGTATACAAAGCCTCAGTACAACAGATTAGGGCCGATACCCGCCAATGAAAACAAAGTACGAGCTTTTTTGGCATTCTGGCAGTTGTCGTGAGAGCGATATAATCATTTTCAATGACATTTTATGGGAAAAGATAGGGTTGAAGATCACGTTTTGATGTTCACTAGACATAGGTTATTGATAATGCGAAATGTTAGAAACAGTTGATTTATGAATTCACATTGTGTCACTTTTGCATTACATCAAAGTTTTAAATAATTATTATGTCAGGTTAGTGGAGCGGGCGACTACACCAGTTCAAACTGCTGGGGAATTTGTCCTAGATAGAACTCCTCTCTAACAGAGGTATCCAAAGTGAAGGTGAGATGGAAGACGAGGAGGAAGAACAAGAATTCTACCTTCAGAATGGTAACAATCAACAGTTTCAGGATGATCCAAACTACCCCAGGCCTGGACACTGCCGGATGGATAGGAGGCGGACGTCATACGCCCACCGTGCCGTGCTGGTCAGTAAAAATATAACAATATCATAGCTTACTTGTACATCAATCTTTCTGTTATATACATATATACATCACAACACAATATCACCACCATTACCATATATGTGCGTTATGCAATAGAACATGTGGTTTAGTTATTGCTGTTTTGCTGTACTGTTTTCTTCAGGCAATAGGCATGGCGAGAGGGAGAGGGCGAATATGATGTGAATGGAAGGATTGAGAGGTAGGGCAGTGATGGTTATTGCAGAAGAAGGATGGAGGGAAATTTGTGATATAGCTGGAATAATTAAGGAGGAATTTTGACGGAGAGTCGGTGAATGACATGGTTGGCGAAAGTGGGTGATAGGCAGGACTCAGTAGGACGGAAAGGATATATTAAGTTTATTAAGTTCCCTAAATCTAATTCAAGTCTAGATCTTAGAAAACTTATGTTAGGCCAGCCATTAGCATCACTGACTAGCCCTAGAAGGTTACAATAGCGGCGTGGTTTTATTGATTATATTACTATATTATATGTAACTCTAAATCAGTATTTATAATTGCTTTTCACCCGCTTTTGTTTTTGTACGTGTGCAATACTTTCAAACTAATGTTCTGTCTCCAAATAAAGTTTTGTGTTTTAAATATAATTGCTAGAATTACTAGAGAATATTTCTAAAATTTTAAGAATGAAGAATGATGAATTCTTCTTCGCTTCATTCGATAATGCTAGGTTTCTTTGAGACTCATGTAAAAATAAACTATGGCACATGATCGGATCGATTTATTCATCTGTAGAAATCAATATTTTACTCACAAAATGCATAGAAGTTGGACTATATACAATATAATTGATGTTTATTTTGAGATCTTTATTGTTAATTTTTCTTGAAGCACTAACCGTTGTCCTGATAAAGTTCTGGTATAGATAAAGATTTATGTTCATTTACAAAGTGAAATTCCATATTTGACCGACTTTCTTTTCAATATAACATTGAATACTTACATTACGAAATTGCAGTTCCTTCTACATATATATACTGGTAGGAAAAGTCGGAAAGTTGAAATATTTAAACATAAATAAAATACGATATCTTCATATAATAACACGCAAATAACTACAAAAGTATTTTAATTTACTTGACCTTGATATTGGGATGAGAATATATTGTGTATCTTGAAGCAGAACATCATACTCACACTTGTAAGGACCAGCTTTTACGTGAATCACGTTACAGATATGATAGATACAGAAACAATCATTCTATTCATCCAACATCTGTTTCAACTTTAATATCGATCCAGTACTAGATAAAATGCATTCATATTCCGTGTATCAGTAATAATAGATAATTCTAAATCATACAGCTGTTTCTTCCTTCTATGTTTGTGATAATGTCCAGCTGTTAGAAATTCCTTTAGAAAACAAGTTTTGAAAACATAAATCCCTTAAGACACAAGTGGAAATAGAATAGGAGATCCGTTAACCACTTCAATATCTTAAAATTTTTTGTACTCGGTTGTAATTTTTAAAAGAGGTGTTTTTATTCTGAACTATCCAATTAAAGAATATGCAGACATACGAGCTGTCTGTAGGACGAAAAATACATTGGCATTACCTCATTTAAACAGTTTATTTCGTTTGAAAACACCGTTATAAGGTACAAGGTCAAGATACAGATAAATGTGTAAGGAAAAAAGTCCCCAATGTGATATACAAGCGTAACCACTTCATTGTTGACATCTGTCATATAAATCACAGTACACAGTACCTTTAGCTGATATCATAATAAAATATGTTAAAGAAAATTACACAGCAAATCGTAGCCTACATCATAACAAAACTACGTTATGAGAACTCCATGTACGGTTAATCCTGTTTTTGTATATGTGGTAAATTGTAAGGTAACAACATTACTAGACGTGTATTGAGTTAAACTATAGCCATTTGATTTTTAAATGTCGTCACCATTCAAAATTCTTCAAGGTCATTTACGATGAAAGACTTTAATTTTAAAAAATCGTCTTACTTATGTATGAAATTGCGTTTCACATAGTGTTTAACAACCGTGATTCTTAGCAGGAGAAAAACACTTAAGATCTTATTCACATATCATATATCCATTGATTATTTTTGCACTTGTCGATCCTCAATTTATTAGCAGACATGTATAAATGCTGAAATAGGCCATACTTATTTTATGTGGCAATTGAATTAGGCAGTTATGTTTATTAAGTAAAGAGGGCATATGGCAAGAGGTAACAGATATATACTTATGGTAGGTAATTAGTAATGTGTGAGAAAGCAAGGATATTAATTCAAGTATGGGGATTGAATCAGACTCAGATCGTCATGGTATCAATAAGTGTTTCTTAACATTGGGAAAGTATGGAAGTTTAAGTTGGATTAAACATTTTACATCCATGGATTGACCAAGGTTTACATGGTGGGTGTCGCCGATAAAGCAAGATACGCTTACTCCTCCGGAACATCTAAACTTTCCCTTGTCTTCCATGCATGTGTTTATATTTTGCCGATTTTGAGTTTTTTGTTAGTATAAAGGAATTTTGTTGTTTATTTTACTCATGATAAAACATTTCTGAGTTCTTCAACGTAAATATTACGTGAAACGTGAAATATTGACTTTGCTACAACATTCACAATTCCAATATATTGTTTAGACACATGGCTATTACTTATTAGTGACCTATTGAAGTTTGTCTTTACTTCACTTTGAATTATGATAACATCCATAATTTAACAGCACTTCGGGTTTTTAATTCATACTAAACCGAACTTGCATGTCTCCTCCTTCATCAGCGTGATGAGATATGCTTACATGCTATAAACTGTTATAGCATGTTATAAGTCGTTATAGCACGTTCTAATGTTTGACATGTTATAAATCATGACATGTTATAAGTCGTGAAAACATGTTGTTAATTGAAACATGCTATAAGTTGTGATTGGCAATTTAAATATCGCCGTGTAACATGGTTTTCCAACATTTTGGCAATAGAACATCATCTTACAATATAATGTTTTCGTTTGAATGTTGCAGTATAAATATTTAGAACATTTTATTGCGATAGATCATTATTCTTATTTTGTGTGTACAATATATAGCTCTCTGTGGTACATAGAGCAGTTAGTGATGAAATATCAAAAATAATATATAAAATAAAAAATGCTGACTTCTCTATAGTTCTGTCTCTTGTGTACAATGAAATGAAAACCTATCAATGCTGACTATGTTGCTTTCATTCCATTGATATCATTGTGTTTAACGACTTTGTATCTTTAAATTACATTTTTCAAAATTACTGCAATTATTTGATTTTGTACATCTATCTTTATTTTTTTTTTCTTATGGACGGATATCAATTGCGTTTTATCCAAAAAAATAATTTTCGCCAAGGTGAGTTTTATTGTTTTCCTTGTAAATATATCCCAATACCTTTTTTTCGTATATATTCTTATGTTTTAGGTTATGGAAATTCAACTTGATAGAATTCTACATTGTGTTTAAAGCTTCCAAACATTTCATGCTTGCCGTCCCAAATCATATTGCACCACATTTTTTTCAATGTTTCGTGTACTGCACTTTTGGTATGTTTCTTCAACGGAACATTTACATCGCTTACCCTTGATCCATTCTCTCTCATTTGTATGTAAATGACAGGTAGCTTTGGTTACTGTGACAAATGTGTAAGTCAAAATCACTGAGGAGAATTCATAAATATGGTAAATTAAATGCACATGCACACAAGGAACTCGAGGTGTAATAAACTGTCGTTATACGACATCAGAGCTCTGTGTTACGTATAATCTCAGTACATCTTAGACTGTTTCTACATAAAATGAGCTCCAGGATTATACAACGTGGATTTTCACAAAAATCATCTTTGGTATGTAGTTTGTAAACTAACCTGAAGCAAATTTTCTCAAGGATATTATATTGTACTTTTTACTAGAAATATCCTTTGATCTGTATTACTCATAAACTGATCCGGAGGCGATCGACTACCGACATCTTACTAAACAAGTCTCCTAATGGATAGCTTTAAGTCAGTGCTATATCTAAATGTTATAGTCCTAATGCCAGTTTTCTGATGACTGTTTTAACATCAAGTGCTTTACAATTCTGTTTCAGACAGCGCTATTGTCACAAGAATACATACACATATTTTAAAACTAAGGCGTTGTTTATACAATTGCACAACTGTACATTTAGTTTAGAAGGCTTGATATTAACTATCTTTTTGCCAAATTTCCACAGTACATAAATACATTACATTCAAAGCAGAAGACGCTAACTCGTCCGAAATACGTGGTTTTATTCTTCTTTTTTCAGCAATAATTCTGACTTTTGCTCCAGTTATACCCTAATTGTCACCTACTGAATTTGAATTAAGGTTCTATTGACATGTTTGTATTACTTTCCCCCTTTTTAACAACAATGTATTACTGTTATATGATTTGTATACAGTGATGGACGTGTTCATAAATCAAGTTGATCAATAAACTCATAAAAACTCATAACCATAAACTAACAACCTTCATAACTCAAATCTTCTAGGCATGAATATATTTGATATATGATACAAATAATCAGAGATTTTTTTCTACAGGCTGTTGAGAATGTCGCCAGACGGATGTCTATGCCAGCTTTTACTGTGGACACTATTGCACAGAACTTAGAGGAAGAAATTGAGAGGGACTCCGAAGAGCCCAAGGGAAATTTTGAAAAGTAATTACTAACTCACCGGGGAAATATGTTACTTTTTTATTTTATATAATATGTTAATTCGTCCAAAGTATAGAGAAAAAACCCTCTAATTACATTTTATTTTAAAAATTTAAATTTCATAAAAGAAGGAAAACACATATGGTCTGTGCATTGACATTTTTTACATTGGAAATAAATACGTAATTTCTGAAAAATACTCATACATTACAACAGAAACCCTGAAACCATGTAGCTTCTTGATAATTCATGATGATTGCCTTAACTATTTCGTTAATCATATATATTACTTCAAGTGTAATTTTTTCCTAAAATATCATGACTTCAATTTCAACAGAATACAGAGATCCGGGGAACAAATCCTCCACAGCAAGAAGATCTTACTTCTCATCGTCGTGCTGAATATCATAGACTGTGCCTTAGTGTTAGCGGAACTGATCCTAGACATTCATTTTATCAAAGGTATGTATGGCGTACTGTAGTAAACTAGGGGAGGTAATCCTAGACATTTTATCAAAGGTACGTATAGTGTACTGTAATAAACTAGGGGGGAGCTGATCCTAGACATACACTTTATCAAAGGTACGTATAGTGTACTGTAATAAACTAGGGGGGAGCTGATCCTAGGCATACACTTTATCAAAGGTACGTATAGTGTACTGTAATACACTAGGGGGGAGCTGATCCTAGGCATACACTTTATCAGTGGTACGTATGGTGTACTGTAGTAAATTTGGGGGACTGATCCAAGACATACACTTTATCCGAGGTACATATGGTGTACTGTAATAAACTAGGGGGGAGCTGATCCAAGACATACACTTTATCAGAGGTACGTATAGTGTACTGTAATAAACTAGGGGGGAGCTGATCCTAGGCATACACTTTATCAAAGGAACGTATGGTGTACTGTAGTAAATTTGGGGGACTGATCCAAGACATACACTTGATCAGAGGTACGTATGGTGTACTGTAGTAAACTAGGGGGGGAGCTGATCCTAGACATACACTTTATCAGATGTACGTATGGTGTACTGTAGTAAACTAGGGGGAGCTGATCCTAGACATACACTTTATCAAAGGTACGTATGGTGTACTGTAGTAAATTTGGGGGACTGATCCAAGACATACACTTTATCCGAGGTACGTATGGTGTACTGTAGTAAACTAGGGGGGAGCTGATCCTAGACATACACTTTATCAGAGGTACGTATGGTGTACTGTAGTAAATTTGGGGGACTGATCCAAGACATACACTTTATCAGAGGTACGTATAGTGTACTGTAGTAAACTGGGGGGAGCTGATCCTAGACATACACTTTATCCGAGGTACGTATGGTGTACTGTAGTAAACTGGGGGGAGCTGATCCTAGACATACACTTTATCCGAGGTACGTATGGTGTACTGTAATAAACTGGGGGGGGGGGAGCTGATCCAAGACATACACTTTATCAAAGGTACGTATGGTGTACTGTAGTAAATTTGGGGGACTGATCCAAGACATACACTTTATCCGAGGTACGTATGGTGTACTGTAATAAACTGGGGGGGAGCTGATCCAAGACATACACTTTATCAAAGGTACGTATGGTGTACTGTAGTAAATTTGGGGGACTGATCCAAGACATACACTTTATCAGAGGTACGTATAGTGTACTGTAGTAAACTAGGGGGGAGCTGATTCTAGACATACACTTTATCAGAGGTACGTATGGTGTACTGTAGTAAACTAGGGGGGAGTTGATTCTAGACATACACTTTATCAAAGGTACGTATAGTGTACTGTAATACACTAGGGGGGAGCTGATCCTAGGCATACACTTTATCAAAGGAACGTATGGTGTACTGTAGTAAATTTGGGGGACTGATCCAAGACATACACTTGATCAGAGGTACGTATAGTGTACTGTAGTAAACTAGGGGGGAGCTGATCCTAGGCATACACTTTATCAGAGGTACGTATGGTGTACTGTAGTAAACTAGGGGGGAGCTGATCCTAGACATACACTTTATCAGTGGTACGTATGGTGTACTGTAGTAAACTAGGGGGGAGCTGATCCTAGGCATACACTTTATCAGTGGTACGTATGGTGTACTGTAGTAAACTAGGGGGAGCTGATCCTAGGCATACACTTTATCAGAGGTACGTATTGTGTACTGTAATACACTAGGGGGGAACTGATCCTAGACATACACTTTAACAAAGGAATGAATAGTTTACCGTAGTAAATTAGGGGGCCTAATTCTAGACATACACTCTAACAAAAGTACATATGTTGAACGGTAGTAAACTATCGTTGCTCATCCTAGACATACACTTTATCAGAGCTGCGTGTGGTGTATTATAGTGAACTGGGGTATTCCATCTGAGGCGAAAACATTATCACAGTAATTTATCCTGTAATGTTTAGCATGGGTAGGTATAATCTACTCTTGCTAACCAGAGAAAGGAACGTTTTAATGAAAGGGTTTGCATGTATGAAATATAAATGTATTTAGTCAATGGATGTTGTCTCGTTAAACAAAACCACAAACCTATTAAAATCGTTTGGTTTACATCACAAATTCAAAATTTTAACTTTACTTGCCACTTTAGGAGAGTCTTCTAAAGAATCCATTATTTCCATTATTCATTACATAATGATTTGAAATTTTATACAGATTCAATTACCTTCTATCCAGCTGGATCTTAGTTGTATGACGATGACAACCATAACATGAAAGGAAAGTTCATTGAAGGAACAAAAGACACACAAGTGAATACTACCCATCAATAAAAATTTAGAAACAAGAAAATACCAACATGTCAACATCAACATAATCTTAACTCGATAAACTAGGGCAAACTAAGAACAAAACAAACAAAATAAGATTTACAGAGAAACTCTTGAAAAAGCGCAAGGAGAAGAAAGACATAGTGTTCCGGAAGAGCCTTCTACTTCATCGAAGACATCCGCCATGTAATTATTGGTCAATCCGAAAAACTAATGTCACAATCTCCAAAGAAAACAAGGTATACAACAACAGAACCAACAAACAATCTAATGAGCATGAAACACGTATATAGCTTCATATCACAATAGGAAAAGAATTAGATTGAGTAAAGCTAGCTGTGAATCAAACTGTATCATACATCTGTAATGTCCTTTAGGACTGGTCAGTGATTTGAGTTGATAACTTTACCAATGATATCCTCAGTATTTGTTTAGTTATTTATTTCCTTTCTTTTACAGACATGGTGCACGAGGCTGAGGATCTACTATATAAATTTACTACAATTCTATTGCAAACGTTCCCCGCCATTTTCATTGGACTTGAAACAGGGGAGGTGGCAGACATATTCAACAAAGTGATTGATGTAATCACTTCATATAACCAGACAACTGATATATACCTCAATCTTAGTACCAATTCAAACGTGACTTATTCATACCGGAGTAGACGACTGGCTGCTTTGGCGGGAATACAGAAAGACTTCTTCACAAATGCTGACCTTCCTGCTTTCCTGGAATCCGATCAGAAACACCATCTGGTCGAAGATCTGGCGCATGCATTTCATAAAGCCAGTATAATCATTCTAGGGATTCTTGTTTTGTTGGTAAGCATGTATTTTCTCTCTTTGAGTTTTGGTTTGTTTCTAGTACTAATATATAGTTTCATAATAGGCCAATACAATCATTGTTTTACCTTGTCCTGTAAATATCGTTAGGATGATAAACAAAATTAACAATTCCAGTAATACTTGTTTCCTTTGAACGTTAGTGTAGTTAATGAGAGTATAGTTTCGGAATTCCAATACAGCATGACTAGTTTCAGTAATACGAAATGTTGTTACTTTGAACATATGTTCTAGAACTTCCAAGATAAGTATGACTGGCAATTTCAAAACGTATACTCAATATTCACTATAAAAATTGCAGGTTACTTCAATACCAATCATATGTGAAATTACAAATATAAATATACATACAAAGGCAAACCCAAGTATTTCGAAGTCTTAGAGACTGTGGGGAAATTTCGAGTTATTAATAAAGTTAATCAAGTTTGAAAGTTGTTATCAAGTTTGGCTGGAATCAAGGAGTTTCTTCGAATTAAATAGGGTTACACTACTTAGAGATAACAAAGTTCGACTGTATTTTCAATAAGATTGGGGAATAGAGGCGTGAAGGTATTTTATAAAATCTTAATTTTTTCGATATCGATTAATTTCGAGATCTAAAAGAAACAAATACCTTATGGTCCTTTTTCATATTACTTTTTACCTTGCTTCAGGTACGCACTCAATCACCAACAAAGCAATAAATAGGTCCGAAAAGTACGAAGACATACGATTTAATTTAGATAATTTTTATTGAAGATTTTCACTTCTAAACAAATATCTGTCTCATATAATGAAGTTGAATTCTCTGTTAGCTGGATTTATCTTATTACGGACACACTGAAATGTTGTAGACTTTGCTGAAAGTATTTTGTTACGGGTCAACTCTTTTCAAGAAAAAGTTTGAGGTAAGTACATTTTTTGATATTAACATATTAATATCACTTCGCACACCAAACATTATTTTTTCTCAATGATCATTAGATTATTTTAATGAGAATATTCTGATCTACATAAAAAGATGTCGCACCTTAGTCTTTATCTCAGATTATTTCCCTAGTCTAAATAAAACGATATTGTTGACCGTAAACTTGCTGGAATATGTGCTTACCTGTTTTCTTCATGTATTCGTCGTCTTTTGAAGCATACTCTGTTTTCACTACTCGTACTTCATATTTATTTCATGACGGTCTTGTACTATGGTTTCTTTTCTGTTGACCAACGAATTTCAATGTTTCCTTAAAGTACCTGTCATGTTCATTGTCTGGTTAGATAAATGTTTTTCATAATAAACGACATGACTTTTTATTCTGATAGATATAACACACATTGTTTTGTAGTCCTGCTGGACATAACCAAAGGTATGGTACTCCGTATATTTAGCATGAGATGATTTTTGTGATCAGTTGTTCTATTCCGCTAATTAGGTTCCATCAACTGGAATATGAAATATAGTTTACCTGTGTTAGATTTTTCTTTGTTCTATATATTTCATCCATCATAATTTGCAAGCAGGTTCTTAATTGCAAGTTTCTCAAGTTTCTAGTTGGTTTTTGTATGTAGTCTATGGATAATTTTGATCAAATGAAAACAACTTTCTGTTTAATGATAACGTGTAATTGCAATTTATGAAAAAAAAGCTGCATGAACGCCAGTCGCCAGGCGGTTAAAAATCAAACATATCGAAACAAAGCTGAAGAAAAACCAGAAACTTAGAAACTGAACGTTATTATAGAATCAAATTTCCTTTTCCACTTTGTCAGAATTATGATATTTTCTTTATCTTTTTCAATGAAACGAAGAGAAAACAATATATTCAAGAACCTCGATCAGTTATCTCAATCAACAGAATCTATAACTTGATGGAATCATTCTAATTGATATCAGGACTAGCTATTCATCCAAGGCAGTTGACATTCCGTACTGTTTCCTTCACCAGAGTCACTAATTTTCTTCTCTGACCCAATCAGTGTTGTCTATTATGATGTTTTGTATTCATGACCTTTTCCTTATGTTTTTAATATACATAGAAAGAACAATGGTAATATGTCCTGTCATAAAATATCTTTACTCAAGTATCTGAATTGCGGTAAGAAATGTATCCCCAAACTGGTATAAACATGGAATTTATTTTGAACACTGTCACTGGGATTGAATTCGTAAATTGTAGATATATTTTTGTTTTAAACAGCTGTTTGACGGATTAATTGTCGTCACGTCCTTTGTCATTGATATTGCCTTAATCAAAGGCATCATGGGATATCCCCTGGAGGATGCTGTTGAAACCTTGGCCTTCCTTATTCCTTGGCGTGTAATTAGGGTCGCCAATAGTAAGTGTATTCAGTGATGTTTACGTTTAACATGTCTGTTTGAGGTGTCGTTTTAATTGCTAAACTGTTAAGTTCGGGGTTTTGATTAATGGGACTGTCTGCGGGTTGTTCTGTTAAGGCTTAAATTCATTACGTTCAACGATCGTTAAATTTAGGGGCAGTTCCTTACTGTTTTCATCCTGTATGATTTAGGTAGAGGCGTAGATTAAGTTGATAAAGAGATTCAGGCAATACTGTGTTGCTCTGTACATACAGTAAACGTACATATTTTAACGTAATCTAAATGCTAATGTTTTTAGCATTGAATGTATTGCGTTCAGTACAGTTTCTGTTTGTAGTTTACAATCATTGTATATATACTAATTAATTCATTGTACCAATTTGCGGAGAAAGTGAAAAGACTATTTGATTTACAATAAATGTCTCAATATAGATACAGTATTTGTTATACCGAAGTGTGATCATCAATTTGGATGAAAATCAGTAACCGAAACCTTACAAAGGTGTATTATGTATTGAGAATTAGCGTTCAGATTAAGCCCATACAGTCGAACTTCGTTAACTCGAACTCGGAAAACTCGAAGACCCCGTTTAACTCGAAGCACTTTGTCGGTCCCGGCAAAATCTTCTCTATTCTAGTAATCAAAACTCGGAAAACTCGAATTCGGAAAACTCGAAAAACTCTGTTAATTCGAAGTAAAAATTTGGTCCCAACAACAAAACATATACTGAATATGAGAAAACTCGAAGTATAAATTTTGTGCCGGTCAATTACATTGCTGATGCGCTACGCCGTTTTGCAATTTTACCGACAATAGGCTTTACAAGTGAATATTAATGAACAATACTGTAATTAACAATATTCATGTTTTAGAAAAGTGTTTATTGTTATTTAATTGAATGATAAAAGGTAACCGTTAGATCTTATAATATAGATATCGGCGATAAAAAGTGAAGTTCTACTCACATTGCGTAATTTCCGTGTCTGTCAGCCATAACAAACACCGACCTGTGTTTACACTCAGTGAAGCGGAACTAAGCTATAGAAAACAATCACAACACTGGCCCGGTACTAGGCTTAATGTTTTTACAGGAGTACGCATGAAACGGTCACCTGTGCTCAATTAAACCGACAAATGAGTGAAACAATTATTTAATTAGCGTCGAAGTACTTAGGGCAGAATTAGTGAGGAGATGTCATGAGGGATAAAAGCATGGGTGTTTCTCACCGAAATCATACCCGTTTCGAAATGTCGAAGTCAATTGAGCAATCCAACGAAGGACCCGGTTTAAAGGTGTGATAGGGCGAAGACCGGCGTGAAGAGGAAGATAGAGACGAAGACAGTCGAGACAAGGTACAGAGCGATATTAGCCGTGGAAAAGGGAGACAGGTCAAAATCTGACATTGCTAGAGAATTCGGCATCCCAGCAAATACTTTATCGACATAATAATAATAATAAGCAAACTGCACCTAATTTAATTATCAATTCTGGTTTTTCAACGATCAAGAACAAAATATGTTTGCTTATTACCGGAATCTACATCAAGCTCGTATATAGCCAAAAAGTGACAAAAAGTACAAGGAACGTCAGGAACATTAAAAATCTTTGCACCAAAACTCATGAACTCGGCTATCTCGAAGACTCGGATAACTCGTGGTCCCATCGACTTCGAGTTAACGAGGTTTGACTGTATATATATTCTCTGCTCGTCTTCATCTCATCTGTTAGCGTTACTGTTTTACACGTCAAACTTGTCAAAACTTTGTCAATATAAATGACTAGAGTTTACAATTGAATTTACTCATACTTTGTTATTTGAGGTTTGGTGATGGCGGTGATGGATGAGGCACATCTCCAGCTGAAAATGATCTACACAGAGAAAAAAGCGGTGGAGGAGAAATATGAAGAGGCGGAGTCAAACCTCAAATATCAAAAGGTGTTATCATCTAAACATGCGCGCGCAGTATTTGTTTATTTGTTTTTCAAAATATAGTTAATATATTTTGTATTAATATTGCTGGAATAGCTCCGTAGGTGGAACATCGAACTACGATCATGCCATGTGCTGCCAGTGTACCTATCAACACGCTAAACACTATATAGAAAACGTTATTGATACGGTATCCGGAATCCCTGTTCTAGTTTCATTTCACCAAATTTTATATGAAGACTTACCTGAGTACTGACGAAGCAAAATTCAATGTAAATTCCCTCTATGGGGAACCACTAGATATTGTTGAAATTCATATCGAATTTAAAATTGAAATCTTCTAAAAAGAGCAAGGGAGATAACAATGGTATGCCAATACGTAGTTACATATGATACATTAACTTCGTCACATGATGACACATTAGTCGACTTCATGTTGTCTCCGTTAAATAGAAACACTGAGAAATCTATTGATATTTTGTCAATGTAATGCCATGAATTGTTTACATGAGTATCGTTCTGTAATTTTAGGTGATATGATTTATAATTCAACTGAAAATATTGAGTCATAAATATGATAAAATCAAAAACCTAAATTGTCCCTTCAGTAGTTCTATTGTAAATTTAATATTGTTCGTTCTCTATACAGTATCAATGTGAATGTCTCTGAAGGGAACAATGTCGTTATAGAGAGAAGGCTTTCCTTTAGACACTAAATTACTATTAATGGCATTACATTGGAAACCAAACAAAACGTCACGTAAAGACAGGTGACCTTTATACAGAGGTCAAGTTATCATTAATAGGATTACACTAGGAATACAAAAATGTGACACTTACAGACAAATGGCCTTTATGTTTGAATTTGAAACATAGTTCATAAATAAGCATTTTGACACTCCATCGAAGGATAAGTAAGAACCTGTTTATTATTTCTTTATTTCAGAATGTCAACAAGATACTGAGAGATCTGTGTATCAGTGAAGGGATCCCTATGTCAAAAATTTCAGAGAAAACAGCCGGATGTGGTAAGATAAAAGATGGTCACGTGACATCAACCAGATATAATGTTCTCTTTTTCTCCTAGGATTGTGTTGTTTACATTACCTTACATATAGTAACATATTTCTTTATATATACTGTAATATATGTAATGAAAGAAATAGTTGTTTCGCCCTTCTATGACTCGTTAGTGATAGAGTAATCACTAATTATGTTTCAATTATACTAGAGGATATTTCAATATGATGATTTTCCACCGAGAAATTCACACAAATGGAATCACAGAAATTGCCCAACACGAGGGATTAACGTGTGAAATTTTTATAACATTATCTATTTTCATGTTTCGGCCTCTTTGACATTTGGAAATCGCTTTTCTTTCTCAATTCCTCTCTCATGAAAGAATTTGGGTACACGTACATCATGTATGTTGAAAAACATTACAAATATATTGAATATATTATTTCATTACTATTGATTTAATGATACTCTGTTTGCTAAAATGCTAAATCATGTAATATGAGTGCATGGTTGGTGATCGGAAAACATATATAAGTGTATTTTTTTTATGAAATAACGTTTGTTTAAAGAATGTTTTTTTAGCAACTGGCCGAGTTTCCTTTTCCAGACGCATGTACGGAAGTATCAATATAATAATGGTTATGGGTGCTTTACATTGTCAAGATCCGCCAAAGCCGCGATCACGCTGATCGATACTAACATCGAATGTTAGCTCAACATTATATCGCCTCGCAGTTTAAATTCTTTTGATTAAACGCAGTATCTAAACTAACACCGTTTACTAATAGGGCACCTTGCATGGGTACTGATGACGTCATTGCATGGTCATGTGACTTTAATAGACACACGGTTATGTGTTGATTATCATTCTGCCTGCAGGTTCTGTTGCGGCTCTGATATCTCGACTTCGGTTTCCGATTCCAAGTCAGCCATTTCCGGAGAAGTAACCCACGTGATTTCTGGTAGTGACGTCTGATCAATGTTACAAAAGTTCTTGATACGTTTATAGACCGTTGATGACCTGTGGCCGAATACTCTTTTGTCTGTTCGAATACTTCACGCATGTCCCTTACCATTTTCGTATATATATTAAGCATTGTTCAGTTTAGTCTTGTCACCAATAAACCTCACTTTGTAGTCAAACGACATAGCGATCACGTGATTTGTTTATGTTTTGATGGAGTAGAGATTTACGATTTTACCCGTTAGTATGCAATGCCCACATGAGTATCGTTAAAATGCTGAAACTCGTCATTTCATTACATAGATATTATACTGGCAAGCAAAGGAAATGCAACCTCTTTAATCGGTGATAGTTTTTTTTTTTTTTTTTTTATTTTTTATTAAAATCTTAAGCTAAGTTAAGCTACAAAGTAAACAGAACTTTTATCATGACAGTATTTAGCTTTTTTTCTACTTTTTGTGTCCCCTGTGCCTCATTCGGCTTTATTATATACTTGTATCTTCATGAACTGATCCTTCGGTCGCCCAGTTTGAGATCGATCGGCAGTTATAAGACAAGTGTAAGGCAATTGTAAAAACAACATTTTGGGTCCCAATCAAAAGTATTTGCACTGAATTTCTATACAGGACACTTCTTCCCGATCAATAACGAAGAACAAATCTTGGAGCATTTTATTGTATTCCTTGTTTTAAAATGGTAGTCTGAGTGTTTTATTAAAGTCTCGCAAACAAAGCAATGCGTTGTCTAAAGAAGTTAAATCATTCGTGAATTAATAGCGAAAACGGATGATACCATGTTATCCAATAAGTTAAAGAATAACTTATTTATATGATAAATTTATGAAAATGTAAGGGGGTACGTTTCTTTAGCCAGTCAATATAGTTTTACAATGAGAGGAATTAAACTTAATGGACAGTTATCAGTATTGGTAAATATACCAGATCATCATGTTTGTGATTTTGTCACGTCTTTTGATTTATGGTATTCTTCCCTTTAACAGAAATGCCACGCTTTGTTATAAGAGACAGAAAACGGATACATTTAAGCAGAATACGGAAGAAGTTAAATTGTTTCACTAGCCAGGAGGACGGGAATTCATTACCATATGGTCACAGCATACCGCATTTGTACAGAAAAAACGGAATATATTCCGTTGATCCGTACAATTCCTCTGACGACGGAAAAGCGACACCTTCTGACGGCACGCTATCAAGACGTTCGACAATGCTGTCTATTCCAGAATCAACACCACATGTTGTACCGGACATTAGAATCCAAGACTCGGAAGAAATAAATGACACTTCTGCTATCATCGTCCAGGAAAATGATGAAGAAGGCAAATCACTTCAGAGACTAAGTCCTGGGAAGTATAGAAAGGCACACAATTATGTAAAAAGGAACCATCTGGAAACAGCCATCAGTGAAAGAAAGCACTAATGGGCTTTCAGTGAGCTGTGTAACAACGTGTTTAATGATAATATGTCACAGCGAAATACAGAAAAAGTCCAGTAAATATGCATTATCAATGTCGTTATTTATTTTTTCATTAAAATTAACTGAACGAAACACAGTGTCTAACATACAAATTGTGACCAAATTATGGAAGCAGTCTTTAACCATGACTTACAAAACACTTCCGCTCAGGTCTACGTCAGCGTAGATGACCATTTCATTTCAGACATTATTGCAAAACAGTAGAAAACACAGCTAAACAAAAGAGTAGAAGTAACGTAGTCCATTGTTAGTAGATCATTAACTATGTCTATACAACTGCCTGAGCCTGAAACGTCATAAAATGACGTCATAAATAATTTGTTTTCACTTGTTGGTGCTAATACGATGGCAAAAGTTTGTTTATCCTATAATTTATACTGTTTACGTTTGGTACACATGTTTGTGACTTCCGCTTCACACGTTAATGTTCTGTGAGTACCGGTGACCTTTCAAGGGTAAGAAAGAAATTCTTTTCCATGATAAACTGAAACTTTGTCTGAAGTATGATATTATCAGTAAATAAACTGAAACTTTGTCTGAAGTATGATATTATCAGTAAATAAACTGGAACTTTCTCTGAAGTATGATATTATCAGTAAATAAACTGAAACTTTGTCTGAAGTATGATATTATCAGTAAATAAACTGAAACTTTGTCTGAAGTATGATATTATCAGTAAATAAACTGAAACTTTGTCTGAAGTATGATATTATCAGTAAATAAACTGAAACTTTGTCTGAAGTATGATATTATCAGTAAATAAACTGGACCTTTGTCTGAAGTATGATGTTATCAGTAAATAAACTGAAACTTAGTCTAAGTATGATATTATCAGTAAATAAACTGGAACTTTGTCTGAAGTATGATATAACAGGTAAATATCCTGAAACTTGTCTGAAGTATGATATTATCAGTAAATAACCTGGAACTTTGTCTGAAGTATGATATTATCAGTTAATATCCTGAAACTTTGTCTGAAGTATGATATTAGCAGTAAATAAACTGAAACTTTGTCTGAAGTATGATATAACAGGTAAATAAACTGAAACTTAGTCTGAAGTATGATATTATCAGTAAATAAACTGGACCTTTGTCTGAAGTATGATGTTATCAGTAAATAAACTGAAACTTAGTCTAAGTATGATATTATCAGTAAATAAACTGGAACTTTGTCTGAAGTATGATATAACAGGTAAATATCCTGAAACTTGTCTGAAGTATGATATTATCAGTAAATAACCTGGAACTTTGTCTGAAGTATGATAGTTAATATCCTGAAAGTTAATATCCTGAAACTTTGTCTGAAGTATGATATAACAGGTAAATAAACTGAAACTTAGTCTGAAGTATGATATTATCATTAGATAAACAGAAACTAGTCTGAAGTATGATATTATCAGTTAATATCCTGAAACTTGTCTGAAGTATGATATTATCAGTAAATAAACTGGAACTTTGTCTGAAGTATGATATTATCAGTAAATAAACTGAAACTTTGTCTGAAGTATGATATTATCAGTAAATAAACTGAAACTTTGTCTGAAGTATGATATTATCATTAGATAAACAGAAACTAGTCTGAAGTATGATATTATCAGTAAATAAACTGGAACTTTGTCTGAAGTATGATATTATCAGTAAATAAACTGGAACTTTGTCTGAAGTATGATATTATCAGTAAATAAACTGAAACTTTGTCTGAAGTATGATATTATCAGTAAATAAACTGAAACTTTGTCTGAAGTATGATATTATCAGTAAATAAACTGAAACTTTGTCTGAAGTATGATATAACAGGTAAATAAACTGAAACTTAGTCTGAAGTATGATAACTTTGTCTGAAGTATGATATAACAGGTAAATAAACTGAAACTTAGTCTGAAGTATGATATTATCAGTAAATAAACTGAAACTTTCTCTGAAGTATGATATTATCAGTAAATATAATAGCGGTATTGGTTAAACACGCGTTTGTTTTGAGTAAATAAAAACCAATCAGGACACCGTTACGGATGTTGCTGGATTTAATTTGAGTAAATATTCAGTAGAATATATGTTCTTGTGGAACTACAATCCCAGAAAACACTTCACTAAAATAAAGACAAAAAAAAACGGGCAAAAAATAATAGTAGATAAAAAAAATTCTGTCTACCACAGATAAACTGTAATTTCGTATAGCTAGAAAATATTGCTGTTTGACACTTTGTTTACATTAAATAAGTTCCTGATTATCCGATCAGAGAGTATCCAAATCTATGTAACGATCAGAGAGTATCCAAATCTATATGACGATCAGAGAGTATCCAAATCTATTTGGCGATCAGAGAGTATCCAAATCTATATGACGATCAGAGAGTATCCAAATCTATATGACGATCAGAGAGTATCCAAATCTATATGACGATCAGAGAGTATCCAAATCTATTTGGCGATCAGAGAGTATCCAAATCTATGTAACGATCAGAGAGTATCCAAATCTATATGGCGATCAGAGAGTATCCAAATCTATATGACGATCAGAGAGTATCCAAATCTATATGACGATCAGAGAGTATACAAAATCTATATGACGATCAGAGAGTATCCAAATCTATGTGGCGATCAGAGAGTATCCAAATCTATATGGCGATCAGAGAGTATCCAAATCTATATGACGATCAGAGAGTATCCAAATCTATGTGGCGATCAGAGAGTATCCAAATTTATATGGCGATCAGAGAGTATCCAAATCTATATGACGATCAGAGAGTATCCAAATCTATATGGCGATCAGAGAGTATCCAAATCTATATGGCGATCAGAGAGTATCCAAATCTATATGACGATCAGAGAGTATCCAAATCTATGTGGCGATCAGAGAGTATCCAAATCTATATGACGATCAGAGCGTATCCAAATCTATATGGCGATCAGAGAGTATCCAAATCTATGTGGCGATCAGAGACTATCCAAATCTATATGACGATCAGAGAGTATCCAAATCTATTTGGCGATCAGAGAGTATCCAAATCTATATGACGATCAGAAAGTATTCAAATCTATTTGGCGATCAGATAGTATCCAAATCTATGTAACGATCAGAGAGTATCCAAATCTATATGGCGATCAGAGACTATCCAAATCTATATGACGATCAGAGAGTATCCAAATCTATATGACGATCAGAGAGTATCCAAATCTATTTGGCGATCAGATAGTATCCAAATCTATATGACGATCAGAGAGTATCCAAATCTATTTGGCGATCAGATAGTATCCAAATCTATATGGCGATCAGAGAGTATCCAAATCTATATGACGATCAGAGAGTATCCAAATCTATATGACGATCAGAGAGTATCCAAATCTATATGACGATCAGAGAGTATCCAAATCTATATGACGATCAGAGAGTATCCAAATCTATATGACGATCAGAGAGTATCCAAATCTATATGACGATCAGAGAGTATCCAAATCTATTTGGCGATCAGAGAGTATCCAAATCTATTTGGCGATCAGAGAGTATCCAAATCTATATGACGATCAGAGAGTATCCAAATCTATATGACGATCAGAGAGTATACAAAATCTATATGACGATCAGAGCGTATCCAAATCTATATGACGATCAGAGCGTATCCAAATCTATATGGCGATCAGAGAGTATCCAAATCTATATGACGATCAGAGAGTATACAAAATCTATATGACGATCAGAGCGTATCCAAATCTATATGACGATCAGAAAGTATTCAAATCTATTTGGCGATCAGATAGTATCCAAATCTATGTAACGATCAGAGAGTATCCAAATCTATATGGCGATCAGAGACTATCCAAATCTATATGACGATCAGAGAGTATCCAAATCTATATGACGATCAGAGAGTATCCAAATCTATTTGGCGATCAGATAGTATCCAAATCTATATGACGATCAGAGAGTATCCAAATCTATTTGGCGATCAGATAGTATCCAAATCTATATGGCGATCAGAGAGTATCCAAATCTATATGACGATCAGAGAGTATCCAAATCTATATGACGATCAGAGAGTATCCAAATCTATATGACGATCAGAGAGTATCCAAATCTATATGACGATCAGAGAGTATCCAAATCTATATGACGATCAGAGAGTATACAAATCTATATGACGATCAGAGAGTATCCAAATCTATATGACGATCAGAGAGTATCCAAATCTATATGACGATCAGAGAGTATCCAAATCTATATGGCGATCAGAGAGTATCCAAATCTATATGACGATCAGAGAGTATCCAAATCTATATGACGATCAGAGAGTATACAAAATCTATATGACGATCAGAGCGTATCCAAATCTATATGGCGATCAGAGAGTATCCAAATCTATGTGGCGATCAGAGACTATCCAAATCTATATGACGATCAGAGAGTATCCAAATCTATTTGGCGATCAGAGAGTATCCAAATCTATATGACGATCAGAAAGTATTCAAATCTATTTGGCGATCAGATAGTATCCAAATCTATGTAACGATCAGAGAGTATCCAAATCTATATGGCGATCAGAGACTATCCAAATCTATATGACGATCAGAGAGTATCCAAATCTATATGACGATCAGAGAGTATCCAAATCTATTTGGCGATCAGATAGTATCCAAATCTATATGACGATCAGAGAGTATCCAAATCTATATGGCGATCAGAGACTATCCAAATCTATATGACGATCAGAGAGTATCCAAATCTATATGACGATCAGAGAGTATCCAAATCTATTTGGCGATCAGATAGTATCCAAATCTATATGACGATCAGAGAGTATCCAAATCTATATGGCGATCAGAGAGTATCCAAATCTATTTGGCGATCAGATAGTATCCAAATCTATATGACGATCAGAGAGTATCCAAATCTATGTGGCGATCAGAGAGTATCCAAATCTATTTGGCGATCAGAGAGTATCCAAATCTATATGACGATCAGAGAGTATCCAAATCTATGTAACGATCAGAGAGTATCCAAATCTATATGGCGATCAGAGAGTATCCAAATCTATATGGCGATCAGAGAGTATCCAAATCTATATGGCGATCAGAGAGTATCCAAATCTATGTGACGATCAGAGAGTATCCAAATCTATTTGGCGATCAGATAGTATCCAAATCTATGTGGCGATCAGAGAGTATCCAAATCTATATGACGATCAGAGAGTATCCAAATCTATTTGGCGATCAGATAGTATCCAAATCTATATGACGATCAGAGAGTATCCAAATCTATGTGACGATCAGAGAGTATCCAAATCTATTTGGCGATCAGATAGTATCCAAATCTATGTGGCGATCAGAGAGTATCCAAATCTGTATGGCGATCAGAGAGTATACAAAATCTATATGACGATCAGAGAGTATCCAAATCTATTTGGCGATCAGATAGTATCCAAATCTATTTGGCGATCAGAGAGTATCCAAATCTATTTGGCGATCAGAGAGTATCCAAATCTATTTGGCGATCAGAGAGTATCCAAATCTATATGGCGATCAGAGAGTATCCAAATCTATGTAACGATCAGAGAGTATCCAAATCTATATGGCGATCAGAGAGTATCCAAATCTATATGACGATCAGAGAGTATCCAAATTTATATGGCGATCAGAGAGTATCCAAATCTATTTGGCGATCAGAGAGTATCCAAATCTATATGACGATCAGAAAGTATTCAAATCTATTTGGCGATCAGAGAGTATCCAAATCTATGTAACGATCAGAGAGTATCCAAATCTATATGGCGATCAGAGAGTATCCAAATCTATATGACGATCAGAGAGTATCCAAATCTATGTAACGATCAGAGAGTATCCAAATCTATTTGGCGATCAGATAGTATCCAAATCTATATGGCGATCAGATAGTATCCAAATCTATATGACGATCAGAGAGTATCCAAATCTATATGACGATCAGAGAGTATCCAAATCTATTTGGCGATCAGAGAGTATCCAAATCTATATGGCGATCAGAGAGTATCCAAATCTATATGACGATCAGAGAGTATCCAAATCTATATGACGATCAGAGAGTATCCAAATCTATGTGGCGATCAGAGAGTATCCAAATCTATTTGGCGATCAGAGAGTATCCAAATCTATATGACGATCAGAGAGTATCCAAATCTATATGACGATCAGAGGGTATCCAAATCTATATGACGATCAGAGAGTATCCAAATTTATATGGCGATCAGAGAGTATCCAAATCTATTTGGCGATCAGAGAGTATCCAAATCTATATGACGATCAGAAAGTATTCAAATCTATTTGGCGATCAGATAGTATCCAAATCTATGTAACGATCAGAGAGTATCCAAATCTATTTGGCGATCAGAGAGTATCCAAATCTATATGGCGATCAGATAGTATCCAAATCTATATGACGATCAGAGAGTATCCAAATCTATATGACGATCAGAGAGTATCCAAATCTATTTGGCGATCAGAGAGTATCCAAATCTATATGGCGATCAGAGAGTATCCAAATCTATGTAACGATCAGAGAGTATCCAAATCTATATGGCGATCAGAGAGTATCCAAATCTATATGACGATCAGAGAGTATCCAAATTTATATGGCGATCAGAGAGTATCCAAATTTATATGGCGATCAGAGAGTATCCAAATCTATATTGCGATCAAAGAGAATCCAAATCTATATGACGATCAGAGAAATTATAAAATAAAGATTGTTGTGACAATAACAAAGCTTCCCATCAACCAGCATTTCTCCAATTCCCTTGTGAGTTTGTTTGTCAGCTGTCGACATTTTGTACTAAAGTCAGGAATTTGGAAACATGACCTTGAATATCGTATCAGCTGCAATATGTAAATGCTTGTGGATGCAGAAATGTTTCTATTCAGAAACTGAACATTTACAATCGGGAAATTAAAATCATCACGCTTATCATACAGCTTGGTGGAAAGTTGTCTGGTCGTTTCGTTGTGTAGGTAGGGCATTGTTTCTTACTGAATCCGTAAGTAGCTTGAAATTCACCCGGTGATGTTTTATACACCGGAATGGAAACAGGATCCGTTCTTGATCATCACATCTTTATGATACACAGACATCATACATACATTGTGTAAATACATGACCATGATTTGCCCAATGATCATTCAAACTCCTTGTATTGTCATTTTATTGTGTCCTTCACCTTACCCATGACTTTAGCAGGAGCATTACGTGCATACGTGTCCAAGAATGACGTTAGGGTTTCGATGTATTCTTTAGGGTAGCAGTAATAGTGACTCACGTGGGGTGAGTCGGGCCAGCATCTACTCTCAACCGGTATCTTTCGCTGCTTGAAGCCTTCTGTAAAACCATCCACTGTTTCAAAACTTGCCACGGAATCCGCTTTGGAATATAGAAACAGTGAAGGTACTTTATACTTATTGAATTTGAAAGCTTCCGACGCTCTGCGAAATTGTGAAACATTCGTCTTAAATATTGCCATATACAGATTTAATGAATACCAAATTATAAACCTAAGGACTGGATTATTGGTCATAGATGTCGAAAATCCTATTGGCACACCGTCTACGTCGACGGGACTATCAAAGACTTGTGCTATTAGTAAGTCACGTGCTACTGTCTTCTCAGTATTAAGTTTCACGTGAAGCTCACCAATCAGATAACCTCCTACCGAAAATCCATGAAGAAGGATTGGCTGGTCGCCATGCTCACGAGTTCGGTCATCGATGTGTGCAAGAATTTTGCTTGCAATTCCCTGAGCCCTTGCTGGCTTTAAAACATCCATGGGAGAACCCTAAAATGCGGAAACCTTTTCAATAATTTTATGGATTCAATTTATGTTCAAGGTTAAACAGTTCGTAACAGTAATCTCTACGAGACACAAAGCTGAACAATTTGTAAAAGCAGAACAGTTGATCAAAGTACTGTAAATATACGCGAGGGGGAAATTTACGTTGATTAGGCGAAGGTCGTTAGATCGTGAAAATTTCCCCCGCGCGTAATATTTTGTGATTTGCTTTAATTTTTTAGACGAAATAAAATGCAAATTCATCGCGAAAATAACTTCCATGCGTATAGTATACCCATAAAAATCGCGAAATTAACACCCCGCGAAAAGTTTTACGGTGACAGTATGAACAAAGATAAGAAGAATCTACGTATCCATTCTTTTTGCCTTTTTTATCAACCGACCTATTCACCAAATAACAAATCTATAAAGGGCTCACACTTTGATATGCAGAATTGCTGATAAAATAACATTTGCTGCTGGTAAAGGAGTTAAGCTTCATTTACCGTATCATAATGGCTCAAAACAAAAGTTTCAGATTTGTGAAAAAAAAAAACACAAAAGAAGATAATCGGCAAAAGTTCCCAGAAGAGTTCTTTACCCTTTTCACAATCAACATTCTTGAAGCAGCTTACCAATATTTTTCGTTATTGATTCTAGAAAAGGTGTATATATTACCTCGTGAAATGAACAGCGAAATTAAAGAGTATTTAACAGTCGCATTGAATGCTGTTCTTTTTATGGTTTGAATTTTCATTGGACAATACATATACTTCACTGCGATATACTACTTACTGACACAGTGAGAACGTTGTAGCCCCTATTTAGGTAGTACTCCTCGTACTTCTCTAAGTGTTTGCGCTTAGCAAGCATCCATCCAAACAACAACGTCAGAGGACGCGCGTGCTGTACGACGCCATCTTGGGCAAGTGCTCGCAGCTCGAGGTTGCGGTCAATTTTCTGTGTCCACACTCGCGTTACTTCACCGATTGGCTTGCAGTTGTGACATGTCCTTAACACCAACGGTATCAACCTTTTTCCCTGTGATCAAAAATTAGTATATCAAAGATCAAATTGAGGAAGACATCATCCATATCACAACCTCCTCTTTTTAGCATCTTTTTTTTCTTTATCATTCACTTGACACACATCGCATTTTCCATGATCATCAAAACAATTTATGAAGGTTATGGCTGCTGAGGAGCATACGCAACCTGTGCTCATGAAGTGAAGGGAGCAGATGAGATGAACGTGAGAAAGACGAGCCCCATAGGCACAGAATAAAATGGATAAACAGTATGCAACAGGAACCCGTTACTAGCAACCGCACCTATTCACTCAAAATATGAAAATTCATATTTCGTTTAACAACAGATAACGATAAACCTTAAGATTAACTACCACTTCTTCAACAGAAATATGTCTACAAAGTTCCCCAAACGTTCATTTTCCACACAACAAAGGCTTTAAGAAAAGAATGGTGCCTCATAATTATCAATATACAACGAAACAATATTAATCAAATATGAAGTTGTTGTTGTTATCAGAGGAGAGACATATACAATGGCTATTGTCCTAAGGACCAGTAAACAAGGTAGATGTCGACAATACAAGAAAGACTCCCCGGATAGTATATGCCTGTTTTTGAAATGTTAGCTTGTGATGTTTTCTGAACTGATGAATTATAGAATAGTTCAACCCCTTGTGGATGAAATAGGGTGAACTTAATCTGTTATGTAATTGGCAAATACACGGCTTGCCGATATATATATATATATCTATAATTTTTTACAGTTTTTGGCTTCTATACTTGTATATTTTGTTGTTAGGGCATTTTTGGCCATTGTTGACGTGACGTTATAGAATTGCTGACGTAACCTAAATGAGTTATTGTAGTGACGTTATACTGTGTTGAACAGTGTGTCAATACATGGAAATTTCATCTCACTTGTAGCGTTAATACACTCGTCTAAGGTAAGAGAATAACAGATCTGTCACTGATAACTAACTTTATTCAATGGTCCTCTAACAGGGTCATCCCATTGTGTAATCGGTAGAAACAGTTCTGGTCCAGGTAAACAACTATTTCACAGGTCGCTTATCATTTTGCATTGTTATACGATCTGCATTTGTAATCCTCGTGTTAGTGGAGAAGTGTGCAAATTCTTTGTTCTAGAATAACGAGTCGTTGTCATGCGATGATTTTGATGCTAGCCTACATGTAAATATGGCTATCTTTCCTGTTGAAGTAGATTTTTGATCGATTTAAAATAACGACATGCTCCAATCTGTCACCAAAACGTGAGATGAGGAATACAGTAAGCCTCGGATAAGTCGAAGTCGATGGGACAACGTGGCGTCTGAATGTTCGACAAAAACATGAAATTTTTTGTACGATTTAGAAGGGACGGACCACAAAATATATTCGACACAACCACAATATTCGATTCAACAGTGTTCGATTCATCCGTGTTTAGGTTACTAAGATAAAGAGGAGAAAAAATCGGGGCCTAACGAAACGTTCGTCTCATCTGATGTATTCGACTCATGCGTGTTCGACACAAGTGAGTTTTACTGTACTATAATAATAATCTTACATATGCAGTTTTCTTCGCTTCCAAGTGAGTTTGTCGGTAATAGTCATGACTAGAGAGGATTGTACTTCAATCATGTGTAATATCACAACTAAATTGAATTATAATATCACATGGTGTCGTCTCCTGTCTTAAATGGATAATTCTATGCAGAATGCTAAATAAATACCAGTCCAACTTAAACAAGCATGCTGACACCTGCGGATGAGTCTCCTGTCACTTTTCAAAGCCTTTCCACTATGTCCATTGTCTAATCGATCTACATTTGTGAAGCAGTACCTTCCAATTCAGAAATGAACATGACGAATTTGAGTATGTACACTATGTATAAAAAGTCTAAACTTACTTACCAGCAATCCAGTAGACAATGAAATCCACTTTGTTATAAAGCAACATACTTACTGATGTTTACAAAACTCATTAAAGATGAATTCTCTAATTAGCATGATAGCCCATAGAGCTAAAACTCGCCATGAGTAACGATATCGCAGCTACTAGTATATTAAGATATTAGTACTGATTTAACAACGTGTAAATGTCAGAGAAATACATCCTAGTTATAATCGATAGATAACCAATGACTAGACTTCATTAGATGAAGGAGTTACATTTAAATCACAATTTCAAAATGTAAATGTTTCCGTGTATTTCCATCAACGATTAAAAGTAGTAGCCACTATTTACATAAAGAATCCTGAAAAAAAGTAACTCACCTTATCTAGTCCACGAAAAACGTTTCCTGTAAATGCCAGCATACTTTATGTCATAACGCCAACTTATGCAGACAGACATTCATCCCGAGCTGGAACAATTGATCCGGATGTTGGTTTCCGGTGAACGTGACCTAGACACGATTTCCTTTTCATGTAGAGAAAAATCAGTTTATCTAGCATGTAAGACATCATCGTGATGAAAGGACTTTTATCGAAAAATGATGGCTCTTCATTATTCCACAAGGTCATGCCATATACTTAGTACTCTACCTTCGTACACACCAAACCGTAAACAATACTGTAGTTCTTCCACTTTTACCGCAGATGACCTGCAGTACAAGTTGTATGTATCTTTATTTTATTTTATATTAGTTTGAGTAAGAGGAGCAAACTCATTCGCCCTTCTAGAAAATGAACAGCTACTATTTCTTTTGTGTTAAAAATTTGACGATATTTCTCTATCGTATGGTTATCAGTATTGCACTATAGCCGACGAGCCCATATAAAACATGCGGAGCGATGTTCAGTCCTTGTGTAACAGAAAATTTCTGAGTCAAAGCACAGATGCAAACTCAAAATTTCACTTTCATAACGAATTATGGATACAAGCATATATGACTATGTTTTTTCAGAAGTAAAAAAATGTTAGAGATGAACGTACAGACCTTTCATCAATTGTGGTAGATTGTACACAGTACAAGACTTTGTGTTTAAGTATTACTAATATTTTTATTCAAATAATGAGTTTGGAAAAAAATTAACAGAATTTGATCAATCTTGAGCATCCGACCATGAAAATGTCTCCTCCGTAGGAATAAATTATTTTTTTTTATAATATACATATACTACCATACCACAGCATTCCGAATTGAAGTACGCATGCATTCCTCTTTTATTGAAGCTCTCTGTTTTCAAAAATGTTCAAAAGGGAGTAAAAGTATATGGTTTTGAACTATACTGAATTGTATTGCGGTAGAAAGATTGGTTTGTTTTTATTTATTTCTTATCAACGATAAAATCATTTTAAAAACAGGAAAATACACCTAAAACAGCATAACACTAACCTTCTCGACAGACTCCTGCCGTCCTTTTCTGAACAATTGTGTCCCTCGCATGTCTGAGTTATACTGAAACCGTGACTAGGGATGCAGTTCTTCACATATCAATGGGATTTATTTCTAAGTATGGTTTCTGATAGGCGTGATACCCTTATATGGACAAAAGCATTATGTGGTGTTAAACGTGATGCATGTTTAACGATGGAGTCATTGCGTGTCATATCAGTTACAAATCTTCTATAAGGACAGAAACAAGAACATCAGGAGTATCGGATAGTGACTTTATTGTGAAACAACATGAATTGGTGTAGATGTAAACATTACTAATGCATGTGTACAAACAATATTATACAAAGTAAAACTTTTCCCGCACTGTTATAATTGCACGACAGTTGTATTATCGGAAAGGTCAATTACGGTACAACTAACACCACTGGAAGATTGTTACTCGGCAAGCTTGTTATATATATACATCTGTCGCTCGATGATATCACCTTAATAAAGATTCAATATATAAACATAAGCATAATTACGTAATGTTTTACTAGAGAAAAAGCTGGTAGAGAGATAACGACAAGTCAAAAGCAGCTTAGTTCAAAATTCAAATTCAATGAAGCATGGGTTGGACAGATTCTACGCATTTGTTGGTGATCTGGTTCATGATCTGTTTGGCTACAACATTGACTGGGTCTGAGGCAAGGTTGTGTTGATTAGCCATCCTGTAATTGTATCAATTAAGATTAACTAATATATATGACAAAAGTAATGATAATTTACACTAAACTGAAAAAAGTACAAGATCAACTTATGTATGTGTGACAAAAGTTAAGTATGATAATTCTCCAAAATGTACTGGGCTTTTATACATTTCCCATCGAACAGCTTGGGATTGGAACAGTTTCAACAAATACATTTGATTCCTTAATTTTACAGTTGTTAACAGTTTTCTGAACAGTGATCAGAACTTCATTAACTCGCTCGTGAGTATTTCCGGGGTAACAGTGATGTTTGTGGAACAAAGCTTCCTGTTTAAGTAAGTACATTCTGAACCTCTACCTGGGCACCATTATCTTTCCTTATTGGATATGACATGGAAGATGTAAACAGAACATTTAATATTATTGTCTTCTGATTATCTCAATTATCTTGTTTAAATCTTTCTTTTTTTACATTTCACATTTTGATATATTGTTTACATTTTCCCCTCCGATTTCCTATAATATCTTGTTCAGTATTTCCATTTCTCATTTACGTGTAGACGAGTAGAAGATGTGGGTCCTGCACATTGATGTGATAGTCAGTGACTACTGATAGAATGGACCCGTCAGTAACTGTGTGAACAGTGACCAGTGACGTCAGTAACTATATGAACAGTGACCAGTGATAGAATGGACCTGTCAGTAACTGTGTGAACAGTGACCAGTGATAGAATGGACCCGTCATTAACTGTCTAAATGTGAAAGTCAGTGACCAGTGATAGAATGGACCCGTCAGTAACTGTGTGAATAGTGACCAGTGATAGAATGGACCCGTCAGTAACTGTGTGAATGTGATAGTCAGTGACCAGTGATAGAATGGACCCGTCAGTAACTGTGTGAATGTGATAGTCAGTGACCACTGATAGAATGGACCCGTCATTAACTGTCTAAATGTGATTGTCAGTGACCAGTGATAAAATGGACCCGTCAGTAACTGTGTGAATAGTGACCAGTGATAGAATGGACCTGTCAGTAACTGTGTGAACAGTGACCAGTGATAGAATGGACCCGTCATTAACTGTCTAAATGTGAAAGTCAGTGACCAGTGATAGAATGGACCCGTCAGTAACTGTGTGAATAGTGACCAGTGATAGAATGGACCCGTCAGTAACTGTGTGAATGTGATAGTCAGTGACCAGTGATAGAATGGACCCGTCAGTAACTGTGTGAATATGATAGTCAGTGACCATTGATAGAATGGACCCGTCATTAACTGTCTAAATGTGATTGTCAGTGACCAGTGATAAAATGGACCCGTCAGTAACTGTGTGAATGTGATAGTCAGTGACCAGTGATAGAATGGACCCGTCAGTAACTGTGTGAACAGTGACCAGTGATAGAATGGACCCGTCAGTAACTTTGTGAATGTGATAGTCAGTGTCCAGTGATAGAATGGACCCGTCAGTAACTGTGTGAATGTTAAAGTCAGTGACCAGTGATAGAATGGACCCGTCAGTAACTGTGTGAATGTGATAGTCAGTGACCAGTGATAGAATGGACCCGTCAGTAACTGTGTGAACAGTGACCAGTGATAGAATGGACCCGTCAGTAACTGTGTGAACAGTGACCAGTGATAGAATGGACCCGTCAGTAACTGTGTGAACAGTGACCAGTGATAGAATGGACCCGTCAGTAACTGTGTGAACAGTGACCAGTGATAGAATGGACCCGTCAGTAACTGCGTGAATGTTAAAGTAAGTGTCCAGTGATAGAATGGACCCGTCAGTAACTTTGTGAATGTGATAGTCAGTGTCCAGTGATAGAATGGACCCGTCAGTAACTGCGTGAATGTTAAAGTCAGTGACTAGTGATAGAATGGACCGGTCAGTAACTGTGTGAACAGTGACCAGTGATAGAATGGACCCGTCAGTAACTGTGTGAACAGTGACCAGTGATAGAATGGACCCGTCAGTAACTGTGTGAACAGTGACCAGTGATAGAATGGACCCGTCAGTAACTGTGTGAACAGTGACCAGTGATAGAATGGACCCGTCAGTAACTGTGTGAACAGTGACCAGTGATAGAATGGACCCGTCAGTAACTGTGTGAATGCTAAAGTCAGTGACTAGTGATAGAATGGACCCGTCAGTAACTGTGTGAACAGTGACCAGTGATAGAATGGACCCGTCAGTAACTGTGTGAACAGTGACCAGTGATAGAATGGACCCGTCAGTAACTGTGTGAACAGTGACCAGTGATAGAATGGACCCGTCAGTAACTGTGTGAACAGTGACCAGTGATAGAATGGACCCGTCAGTAACTGTGTGAACAGTGACCAGTGATAGAATGGACCCGTCAGTAACTGTGTGAACAGTGACCAGTGATAGAATGGACCCGTCAGTAACTGTGTGAACAGTGACCAGTGATAGAATGGACCCGTCAGTAACTGTGTGAACAGTGACCAGTGATAGAATGGACCCGTCAGTAACTGTGTGAACAGTGACCAGTGATAGAATGGACCCGTCAGTAACTGTGTGAACAGTGACCAGTGATAGAATGGACCCGTCAGTAACTGTGTGAACAGTGACCAGTGATAGAATGGACCCGTCAGTAACTGTGTGAACAGTGACCAGTGATAGAATGGACCCGTCAGTAACTGTGTGAACAGTGACCAGTGATAGAATGGACCCGTCAGTAACTGTGTGAACAGTGACCAGTGATAGAATGGACCCGTCAGTAACTGTGTGAACAGTGACCAGTGATAGAATGGACCCGTCAGTAACTGTGTGAACAGTGACCAGTGATAGAATGGAACCGTCAGTAACTGTGTGAACAGTGACCAGTGATAGAATGGACCCGTCAGTAACTGTGTGAACAGTGACCAGTGATAGAATGGACCCGTCAGTAACTGTGTGAACAGTGACCAGTGATAGAATGGACCCGTCAGTAACTGTGTGAACAGTGACCAGTGATAGAATGGACCCGTCAGTAACTGTGTGAACAGTGACCAGTGATAGAATGGACCCGTCAGTAACTGTGTGAACAGTGACCAGTGATAGAATGGACCCGTCAGTAACTGTGTGAACAGTGACCAGTGATAGAATGGACCCGTCAGTAACTGTGTGAACAGTGACCAGTGATAGAATGGACCCGTCAGTAACTGTGTGAACAGTGACCAGTGATAGAATGGACCCGTCAGTAACTGTGTGAACAGTGACCAGTGATAGAATGGACCCGTCAGTAACTGTGTGAACAGTGACCAGTGATAGAATGGACCCGTCAGTAACTGTGTGAACAGTGACCAGTGATAGAATGGACCGGTCAGTAACTGTGTGAACAGTGACCAGTGATAGAATGGACCCGTCAGTAACTGTGTGAACAGTGACCAGTGATAGAATGGACCCGTCAGTAACTGTGTGAACAGTGACCAGTGATAGAATGGACCCGTCAGTAACTGTGTGAACAGTGACCAGTGATAGAATGGACCCGTCAGTAACTGTGTGAATGTTAAAGTCAGTGACTAGTGATAGAATGGACCCGTCAGTAACTGCGTGAATGTTAAAGTCAGTGACTAGTGATAGAATGGACCGGTCAGTAACTGTGTGAACAGTGACCAGTGATAGAATGGACCCGTCAGTAACTGTGTGAACAGTGACCAGTGATAGAATGGACCCGTCAGTAACTGTGTGAACAGTGACCAGTGATAGAATGGACCCGTCAGTAACTGTGTGAACAGTGACCAGTGATAGAATGGACCCGTCAGTAACTGTGTGAATTATTTTAATTGTCTTATAGGAGGGATCCTCAAAATATCTCAAATTTGTTCGGAATACCCTTCAGTGTTTAATCCACCTTTAACCGGTATAAGCGTCCTTTTGTACAACGATAACCGAATATCCCACAAAGAGCTATTCAGTTTGGTTTCCAATGACAGGTATTGAATCTATTTAACCGAGTTCCTTGCTGAAGTTACCTCCCCTTCGTAGCATATAGTTTAGAAGTACAATGCATGGCCTCTTAATATCTGCAAACAATTGGTTTGTGCTGATTCATACTACTTTCTAACGTTAAATGGAGTCTTCATTCAAGTCAGAATTCATTTAGCATTTTCATAAAACAGTTTTTCGTTGTTTATTCAGTGAAGGAGGAAGACATTTTTAAAAAAGTTTTTTCTACTTACAAATTATTCTGCTATCAGTTCTGGTTTGCTGACGATGAATAGACATAACGTGTCGTATCAGGACAGCTTTTCTGGATCTATTTCTTAATTAGTATTGGCGGGTGCTATTTCCTGGTGTGCCTTTTGTTAAATAACATTTTCAAAGCATTCAGATCTGGATTAAAAATATCCGAATACTTCATGAATATTGCTTAAGCGATACATATCCTTTACCGACTCCACAAACTATTACACTGCCATGGTGTATAAAGCTAACAGAGAAAAGTACAGTTTGTTTGTAGTTGATTTTAATGTAACAATGGATAGATGAGTTTGACAATCGGACAGTTTCATCAATGAATTTTAATGTAACAATGGATAGATGAGTTTGACAATCTGACAGTTTCATCAATGAATTTGAATGTAACAATGGATAGATGAGTTTGACAATCTGACAGTTTCATCAATGAATTTTAATGTAACAATGGATAGATGAGTTTGACAATCTGACAGTTTCATCAATGAATTTTAATGTAACAATGGATAGATGAGTTTGACAATCGGACAGTTTCATCAATGAATTTTAATGTAACAATGGATAGATGAGTTTGACCATCTGACAGTTTCATCACCAATGTGCAATATTGTGTTACGTTCATCTGTAGGTGTCGAATGTTTGATCAAACTTCGGTAAAGAATAAAATCGCTCCAAGACTGTTAACGACTATCTGGTAATAGTACTGGTGACCTAGACCTCTACCCAACGCCCTTGAAGCTCAAACTTGATCAAGGCATTTCAATGCTTTAAATGTATGATTTTTTAAAATAAAAATCCCTCAAGGAGTGAAGCCGCTTTAGTGC